CGGCGAACAGGCGCTTCTGACCCTCTTACCTCTTTACCATTTCTTCCTGCCAAGAACGACTACCGCGCCGTGAGGGACCCCGCGGTCCGCGTAACTCCGGTGAGGATTTCGGCGATCAGTTTGCATTTGTTGGCCTGGTAGCCATCTAGCGCGAGAGCCGCACCTCTCGGGGAAGGGGGTGACTCGCGCGAGATCCGCACGATCCACGCGCGCTACCCAGCCTCCTCCGTCCGTGGTCCAGCAACGGTGGTTTTCTCATTTCTCCAGGAATTGATCCGCCGTGCTCGCCAGGAATCCGCCCCGACGCCTCCAGGTCCGTCCAGATCGGTTTCCCTCCTTCCCGCGCCCGGAGATCGCGCCCGGATAATCGATCCACCTGTTAAGCCGTCAATGAGAGGAAGGTAGGTCCTCTGTCGACGCTCCTCTTCTTGCGTTTTTTCGCGGACCGACGCCTGAATACTCTCTTTGCCTTTGAATTTCGCTTGGTTTGCAATCTTGTAATTTGACCGTGATGATATTTGTACGAGTCTCGTTACGGATGATTTAAGATTCTCGTATGGATGATTTAAGATTCTCGCGGTTTGTCTTTTTATTGAGGCGAAGAGGTATTTCCTTCAGAGGAGAGTATTTTACGTAAGATCTTAGGCTTAGTTTGCTGTGAAAGAATGTAAAATACTGCCGTGATTACATAACGAGGACAATCTGAAAATCGAGATTTGATCTCATGTTTTTACGAGCTTTTGTTTAAGACGCTGTTAGTGTCTTAAATGGCTCACAGGTAATTGTTCCTCTTATCATTAAACGGTTTCTGACATACTCGTTTGTTTAGAGATATGTTTGATTTACGAAACTTTAAAATATTGGCAAGAGTATACGTGTACGTTCCGAGGAGCAAATGATTGAAGAGCTAAAAATCAGATAATTAATATTTTCATTATCTAAAAAATACACTTTACAAAATTTGTTTAAATATAAAATTACTTTCTCTCGTCAGAGATTTCTCTTTAGAGATGTCTCTTTAAATTATTGAAATCATATCAAGTGATTTATTTGTAAAATGAATGAACTTTCTCGTCTAAATCGCTGATTCATTGCAACTTTAACATTTAAATCGCTGATTCATCGCAGCTTTACGCGATGAAATTCATAACCGCTTCAATCTCGTCCAATATTCTAATATTCACTTTTATCAATGTAGATTGACTTTAATCTCGATTTAATTTACTCTTTATTTTACTCTTAATTATTAGAACTGAAGGGAGACAGAAAAAGTAAGCTAAATCGAGATTAAAATTAATTTACGTTGGGAGAAATAGAGAAGAAATTTAAATGGGGCATTGCATGGCGAAAATATCGAAGAAGTGAAGTCTTATAATGCATTTTTATCAATCTAGAATAACTTCAATTTCGATTTAATTTACTCTTTGTTTTATTCTAATTCTTAAAATAAAAAAAAAGAAAATAAAGAGTAAGATAAAACGAGATTAAAATTAATTTACACAAATAGAACTGAACATTCGAGTAGACTCAAAATAAAAAAGAGTTAAATGAGAAAAACCGTTTTGTAGACACCGAGAGAGAGAGTGTTGGATACCACTCACCGAATTGTTCATCGAGGAGAAACACGATTATTCGAGATAAATAGAAATATTATATATAATAATATTATATGAAAAGAATTCGAAGAATTCTCCAAGTTTTTATTTTTGGATACCTGCAGCCTTTCTTCTTACGTGCGTACGATCGATTAGGATCGTACGCGCGGACGATATATCGAAAGCCACGTCGGATCTAACGTTCCCGTCTCGTCGTTTTCCCTTCGAGAGACCGACGAGAGAGGCGTTTTCGAGAGACGCCTCGGGTCATACACGGTGCGGGAGCACGATTCTCTGTTCCGTTCCGAGAGGTATATTTGCGTCCCCGAGTCGTGCGTATTCAGAGGCAGAACTCGACGTCGTAAGGTACATTTCGTCGTGAGGTACGTCGAAATAACGTCAGGTGTATAACGTCAGAATGTTCGGAACCCGGTGGTCGCCCTCGTGAAGGTGAACACCGTGGATTTCGCGGCGCGTGAAAATCGGGGACCGAAAGGATGAGGAAAGAATCGCGCGGGATATTTTATGGGAAACATGATCGAAAAATGCTTGAGAAATTCGCAGTGATTTTTATTTGCAATACGAAAAAGAGCAGTCTTGCTGAAGTATCTAAAAGTTTGGTGAGATATAGATCTGAAAATCACTTTGTTGGGCCATCAAAGTTATTGTGTAGGACATCCAAATTGATTGCTGGAATGTAAAAAAAAAAAATTTCACAGTGTTATTGTGCTTAAGCGTTCTATATAATTTCGATTATGTTCAGATTTATATCTGTAATATTTTTGGATATTTTAATAAAACCTTCTATCCGTGTGGAATAATTCTTTTATGTTTATTATCATTATTTGCAATTTTTGAAAGATTTTCCTTTTTTCAGGACAAGATGGAGGAGGAAGATGTGAGGACGATAGTGGAGCTGTATATTTATGACCTTACCAAAGGGATGGCTGCGATGATGTCACCGATACTCATTGGTAAGCACGAGAAATCAATAAATAAATGATAATATTAATATTTATACGGTATCAGCTTCCTTAATCAAATTATCCTTCTTTATTAATACGAAAATAAACGTTTGATCATAATGTTTCACAAGTAGAAAAGAAACCGATAATAATGTACATATAAAAAATAATAAATAATATACATATAAAAATAGAAAGAGATTTAAAAATAGAGAGAGCTTTAAAAGATATTTAAAAATAAAGAGAGATTGATAGCTTTTATTGGTAGTTTTTTAAAATTAATTAAATAATGTTTGAGGAGAGAAAGAAATCTTGTAAAAATATTATTGACTTTAAAGCAATTGTTCAAGATTTATAATTTCAGATATTGACTCAATATGTCGACGTTTATGTATTGTCTTTTTTTTTCTCACAAGAAGAAGAAAGATAATAATAAACATAAATCAATACGCATTAAATCAATGCTTAGAATTGTAAATCTTGAATATTGACCTAGGAAGGAATCAAGCTACGTCATACCTGCGTGCATCGTGATCAGCGATTGCTCGCAATATTTATCGAAATGGAATGCTGCGCATCACTATTTTCATCGGACGCAATTTTAAGCTCTTTTACTTTGAATGTTATTTAAGAAAGATGTAACGTAGCGGAAAATGTCTTTCTTTGTTATATCGCCGTAAAAACGATGATCGCACATTAGCAAAACAGAATTTTTGCATTTTCGAAGATCGATGACTATTTCTCGTCTCTAATCAAGGCCTCTAATCAATCTTGCTTGAAATATCTAAAAATTTGGCCAAATATAGATATGAAAATAATTTTATTGAGCCATCAAAATAATTATGTGGAATATTCAAATTGATTGCTAGAATATTAAAAATGTTTCATTATTATCACATTAAATGTCTCGCATAATAATTTTGATGATTGAACCCGATTATTTTCTTCGATCTATATCTGACCAAATTGTTCGATATCTCAGCAAAACCAATTTTTCTGTACGGCTGATAGAAAACCATTTTTATTTCAAATATACATCTATAATGTGGAAGTATTTCGCGAAAGTTGCAATGCCTAGTTTGCAAAAAAAAAAAGCTGACGCGATCGATCGGTTTCTTGACTCGTTCCCTTCTATTCTGCCAGTCATGCAAACTCATATTATCGCGATCGCCGCAATTACTCGCTTCTCTCTTGATTCATGCTATATCGTATGGACGATTTTGGATTAAAGCGATTCAAATATAAATAAACAGTCGTCGAGAATCGGTGACACTTTGGGCGACGATGATTCACAAAACGGCTACATCGTTGTTGTCGTATCAGCCAGCTATGTGACAAGTTTATCATCGAATCCATTCCACTAAGAAGCAAAACGTGCCGAAATCACAGGATTGATTCATTTCGTAATGCAAGAATTAAATAGAAAAGAAAAATAAATAAATAGGAATTCTAGAAATTAAAAAGGAATATACGGAGAGAATGGTTTTTATTGAAATATCTAAAAATTTGACTAGATATAGACCTGAAAGTAACTTCGAGTCATTAAAATTATTATATAGGATACTTAATACTACAAATTCTTTAACAGTCACTAATCAATTTGAACGTCATCATAATTTTTTTGGTGGCCCAAGAAAAGTATTTTCTGCATCTTGTCAAATTTTTAGATACTTTAGCAAAACTGTTCTTTTCATGTATCCCGGAAAACCAAAGGGTTAACAAGAATTATGCGCGGTTATAGATGCACGTTAATATTAATTATACGCAAATAATAATAATTATGTACAAATAATATTAATTATACATAAAAATAATCATATATAAAATAAGAAAAATAATAATAAGAAAAAAAAAACCATAAAATAAAAATAGTGCATTTATCCGCTGAAATTTATCCGCTAGACAATACTTAGGAATTTAAGAATGAACGATTTGAAAGGGGGAGGGGGTGAAGAGCGTCATAAGAAGAGGCGACGCGTAAAACGCCGCGTGGTATGCGCGACAATAACTTAGAGAATCGCGCGTGCAGAGAGAACGGGTCCAACGCGGAAGTGGCCGGAAGGGGTGCTCCGTAATCCGTACGAAATTCCATGTGATGGCGTAAAACGGATAGCGACACGCGGACCGTGCCCACCACGTGTCCCAGCTGCATGTTCCCGCACTCTCGGCCGTCTATTTCCGAGTGCGTCGAGTGCAGCGTTCGTTCCTGAACGCCTCTGAGAAAATTTCGATCTGGATAAATTGGCAGCCGTTCTAGACCGAATAAATGTCAAGTGAAACTCCGGGATTATCTTGCAGACGAATTATCTCAATGAGACGACGATATGCGAGAGAATTATGAAATTCTTCTGTTCTTTCTAATTCGTTTTCGAAAATAGTTTTCTTTTCTTTTTTTTTTTTTATTTTTATTATATCTAAGAAACATCTTTTAGATTTTTAGTTTTTAGGAATAAAAATTTTCAATTCTTAATTAAATTAAATTGCCAATTGCGTGACTGATAAATCAATTGTAAAGTAATTATAATAATTATGTAAAGTTATTGTATTTAATGTAAACGAGTCTTAACTTTATTTTGAAAAATAATAGCGCTATTATTATCTCGAAGGAGTAATTGCAATTACTCCCTTGTCAAGGCACCGAACTCGAAAATTTATATTACGTAAAGTTACGTTCTATAAATACATGCTGTAGCATGTACGGCATCAAAACCCGACCCGAGACCCGCCTTCCCGAATTCGTCATAAACGCTGGTGCCTCGCACCGCTCTGGAAGTAATTATAACGGCCAGGTTATTTCTTACGAGGTCGACATCACTGGTAGGCTCGAGGCGCAATGAGAAAGCTACGCGTCTACGCGGATGTACTTAGCTATTTCCGCGGTGGTGCAGAACTGGGTCGAAGGAGGCACATACGGGTTCGCAAGCTCGAGCTTCATCCGGGCCTCGCGAGCGCCTCGCGTTTCGCTAACTCTCTGATCTAATCGGTGGATTTACGCGAGGACAAGCCGTGACAATTATTATCGTCGGTCCTTGAACAAATACCGCGAGCCTGAGTTTTAAGCCTGTCTCGAGGCTGCTTTGTTGGACCACACGCCGGAGTTAGAAATAGAACTTAGTTTTCATATAATTCCGAGTTCTTTTTAGATCCGAAAATTCAGAACCAGCTACATCAGAATACAGAACCAGCTTTTGCTACCTAAAGACTTAGTAAATGGAGTTAATCTGTAATTATCGAAGAAATTACATAAATATTCGAGAGTACGTACAGATAAAATATTCACTTCAACTTTACCTGAGTTTTATTATTAATAAAAAAAAGCTGCTCTGTTCTTAAGGAAATTATATAATATAATATATTCCAGAATGTGCATATAGAAATAAAATATTATATTTATCGCATTCTGTCTGTCATTAGAAACGGTGGTTAATTCCCGACTTTTGCTCGCAGGTCGCCAGTTGGACGGGATATGGCACACGGCGATAGTCGCATACGGAAGGGAGTATTTCTTCGGTCCCGCCGGCATCCAGAGCGTGCGACCCGTAAGTATTCTCTCCGCCTCTTAGAAAGATTCGATCTCGATCTCGGTTGCGCGACCGATCGTCTCGGTAGCGCTACCTGCATCGCCGGGCGAACACGTTAAAATACAACGCGGTCTTTTCGTTCAGTCACGCAGGTGGTCCCCGTCGCGCCGTATCCGATACTCCACCCGAGTGGTTTCTTTCCTCCTCGTGAGTATCCACGGGCGTTTAGAAATTCATCATTGGCGAAACACCGCAGCCAGTATCAACAACGCGTTAGTAGGCACCGCGTTCCGGCCGCGGCGAAACTCTCGGGACGAAATTTCTGTTTGCTGAGTAAACACCATAGATCCATTCTCCCCCGTTGCCGAGCTTTACTCCACGCGGCCGTCATCTCTCTCTCTCTC